TTTTTTATGTTTGCGTTTGGTTATGCTCGCAACGCACCCATACTCAGTTTTATTTAAAGTCTGTTTATGATTTGGTCTAAACCTCGATCAATCTTTGGATCTAGTTTTAAATGTGTCGTTTGGACCATTTGGACACAAAGGAGGCTACAGGATATAGCTAACTGCGCTAATTTAGTCATGTGTCCCTAACGAGTATGTTGTCCTAGTCAGTGTGATTCCGAGCAGTTCGGATGCTAGTCTAGTTTACTTTGTCTCAGAGTCTGACAGTTCTGAGAAACGGTTCATCAACCTCAACTTATGTGTTGACAGTGGTGACGATTGCTGTATGCTCCCTCCCTCCCATCTCTCTCTCTCTCTCTCTCTCTCTCTCTCTTCATCTCTCTCTCTCTTCTATCTCTCTCTCTCTCAATTCTCTTCTCTCTGTCTGTCTGTCTGTCTGTCTGTCCTGTCCTCGTCTCTGCTAGGGTTACGTCTCTCAATCCATTCTGTTCTGTCTGCTCCTCGTATGTCTGTCTCTCTCTCTCATCATCTCTCAATGTTGTCTCTCTTCCTCTCTCCATCACCTCTCTCCACCCTGCCACATATTGTCTTTCTTCTCTCTGCCATCTCTCTCCTTCTCCCCTCTCTTCCTATTCTTCTCTTCTCACCCCTTCCACCTCCCATCCTCGTCTCGTCCTCTTCTTCTCTCTCTCTCTCTCTCTCCTCTCTCTCTCTTCTCTCTCTCTCTCATCTCTCTCATCTCTTCTCTCCTCTCTCTCCTCACTCTCTCGATCTCTCTCTCTCCTCGTCTCTTCTTCTCTCTCTCTCTCTCTCTCTTCTCCTCTCTTCTCTCTCTCTCTCTCTCTCTCTCTCTCTCTCTCTCTCTCCCTCTCCCTCTCTCTTCCTCTTCCTTTCTCCCTCACTTCCCTTTTTCCTGCTTTCTTTTCTTCTCATCCTCCCCTGTCTAATCTTCATCACTTTTTATCTCTCCGATTCTCCTCCTCCATTTATTCTTTCTCCTTCTTCCCTCTCCAGGTCCTCCCTCACTCTTCCTCTCTTCCTCTTTTCCTCCATCTCCCCTCTTCTTCTTTATTTTCCCTGAACTTTCCTTCTCTCTTTCTCTTTCCGTGTTCTCTCCCTCCTTCCGCTTCTTTCCTATGTCCCAATCTCTCCTTCGTCCTCTCTCTCTTCTTCCCTTCCCACATGGCCCAGCTGTTTTCTAATCCCTTCACTTCCTAATCCTCTTCCGTTCGTTCCCTTTTTTCTCTCCTCACCTTTTCTCTCTCTCTTTTCTTTTCCTTCTTCCTTTTTTCATGGCTTCTCCTCATTTCTTCTCGTTGCTCTCTTCTCTCTCTTTCGTGTCTCCCTTACGTCAGCTCTTTCCGTGTCTCTCCTCTCTGATTTTCCTCTTTCTCTCCAGTCTTCCTTTCCCTTATTTTCTCGTTCTTTCTTTCCCTTTCACTACGCTATTCACTCTCCTTTCATAACTCTTTCTATATTCCCCTTTCCATATCTTCTTCTTCATCTCTTCTCTTGTCTTCTCTCGTTCTCCACCAATCTCTTCCCGATCGTCTGTCTCCTCTATTCCCTATTCACTCCTCCCGCCCTTCCTCTTTCTCCCTCCTTCCCTTCCCTCTATCTCGATCTCCATCATCTCTTATCTCCCCCCCGACCCCCCTCCTATCTCCCTTCTCCCTCTGTCTCTTTTTCAACACACCACGATCTTTCCTCCTCTCCCCTCCCCCTCTCCCTCCCCTCCTCAACCATCATTCTCAATATATCCTTATTTTTCTCTCTCCTCTTTTCCTTCCCCCCTCCTTCTCTTCTTCTCCTTTCTTCCCTTCTCTTCTTATCTCTTCCTTCTCCTCCTCCTCCTCAATTAATGCATAAATACCCGCGTGTTTCAAGTGTCCAATCACCTATAAAGAGCTACGTGTTGCCTCAATAAGCAACTTGCAGTGCAACAGGTGTAGCATTGCAGAACCCCGTTAGAACAACTTCCCCTTCTTCTGAACTGAGCAACTTGTTCCAACATGTTATAACAAGTTTAGATTAGATTTTGTTTTTTTTCCTCCACGTTTTCTTTCTTATTCCACTTTTTTTTCGTTTTGTTTTTTGTTTATTGCGTATGTACACTTTTTAGGTAATGGTGAATATTGAAGGAGTAAAGGTATAAAGTTTAGTGTGGCTCTTCAAGAACAAGTAGAGAAGAAACTGAAAAGAAATAGATGAGATTTTAGAGAGAGAGAGAGAGAGAGAGAGAGAGAGAGGAGAGAGAGAAGAGAGAGAGAGAGAACGATGGAGAGAAGAGAGAGAGAGAGAGAGAGAGAGAGAGGAGAGAGAGAGAGAGAGAAGAGAGAGAAGAGAGAGAGAAGAGGAGAGAGAGAAAAGAGGGGAG